TAACTAGTAACTTAAATATTACCAGTTTGCTTAATGTAATTTAAAATGAAGCCTTCCCCATCTATGCAAATTTGAATGTAAAAGTTACCCGATTCATATCAAACTTCACAATGATTATCGACTGTCACCTCCAGTCTCTTTGCTGAGCACCTTTGCTCATTTAGAAATATATAAACAAATTTGTGAGCAATCATGATTCAATACACAATAAGCAAATGACTAAGTTCATTGCCTGGTTTGACTAATTACTCTCTGTAACATAACCCAAATGCAAGAATCGACTTGCAATTACTCATTTTTTGACCTTCTTTTGCAATAACAGCGCTTCCTGAAATGATTTGGTCAAATCAAACACACTGTTCCAACGAATCTCGCTTTCAACAACAGGCTTGAGGTTCACAGCACTAGTGCAGCGGGAACAAATTTCAATAGAGCACAATGAGTTACTACAAATGAGTTATCTCATTTCAAAATGGGACATGGGCTCCAATTAATGCTAACTGTTGGGGTGGGAGGGGGAAAACTTCCCGATTATAACTATTCTAAAGGTAGGCAATCTCAATCCAGTTCTTCCCGTGAGCGCTAGGACACAGCACAAAATTGACCATCATTGGCATAAAGTGGAAGCAATCTGTATGTCAAAGTAATATGGTAGAGCTGTTTGGGAAATAGGAATGTCACCTAGCAAGGTTCTCTCAGTTGTCGATTGGCTAGAGACTACCCTCTCTAAAGCTGTACAAAACAGAAAGGTCTCAAGTTTGCTCCCTGGACAATGCTGTTTTTCGCGAATTTTCAGCCTGGAGATCAAGAATGATACTTCAAAACACAAAATACTGCAGATTCTGGAATGATATTTCAGTTGGTGTCAATGCACCTGAGCGTTGGAGAGAGAGGGAGAAAGGAGAAAATGGAGAAGAGAATCAGCTATGGTTCCCTCTTCCAATCACCATCTATGTTGTTTCCTTATCCCCAATAGACGTCCAGTTACAATTTGTGTGAATAATCGACTCGCTACTGAACACGACGACTATTACTGGGTTACGATAGCCATCAATGGGCAGCGTTCAGTGTCAATCTAGCAGGTTAGAAGCTTTCAGCCTCTCTGCCCCACTCTTTGCAACTCCATCCCACAATCCCTTCGCCTTGCTCCCTTTCTTGCCTCCTTCAAGGCACAACTCAAGACCTTTCTTTTTGACCATACATTCAGCCGCTCTCCTACCCCCTCTGTCCTCCCTCATCCACCCGGCCCCCCACACTCGGATCCTGATCCCTGACTGTTCAGTGCCTTGGAATGTCTTCCTAACGTGAAAGACGCTTTATTAATGCAATTTTGTTATTGTAGAAAAGGGTTGAGTTTCAAACCTCTGAGTTCCTTCACTCTCTGTCTCGCTCTCTTCCTGCTCACTACTCATCACAATTTAGCAGTTGAGTTGGAGGTTAAAAATGGTTCATAAATAAAATGCACACTAGGTTTACCAATGCACTAAATGTTGCACTTATTTCAACAGACAAAGCACTGTCCACTGGGTAACTTTAAGGGTAATATTCTGCATCTCAGAAACTGTACACAATAATTCCTATGAAATCGCTTTGGGATGGCTCCCCCGACATGAAGGACACTATACCAAGAGTAATGATGTTTTTATATTGTATATCCATGCACCTTTCTGTGAAAATTACAGTAGGACAACACATAATTGCATACCCACTTAACCTCACCTGGCTCCACTACAGAGCTGTGACACTGGCAAAAATAAACCGTTTGAGATTACTAGGGGCATGTTGACCCTCACAGTAAAGAGTTAAATTGCAGGCCGAGTACATCACACAAACATTGATGTTTTTTAGTCAGTAGAATTTATATGTTTGACTCGTGGTTAATAATAATAATAATCCTTGCATTTGATATAGTGCTTTTCACGTCTTCTTGACGTCTCAAAGCGCTTCACAGAATAGACTGTAAAGTGAATTGACCGCATATTTGTGGGTGAAATCTGAGAAAGCAATATAGTCAGAGATAGAAAGAGAGAGACTTGGGTGGATGTGGGGGAGGGGGGAGAGGAGAGAAGGGTTTGCATAGCAATTGTGATAGTATAACCCCTGATGGGAGGATTTTTTTGGTTAAAATTGCAGCCAATTAGTATATTGCACAATGCTCAATTAGCTGCATAGCTTCCTTATCCACAACAAGGCCAATCCTAATTAGTTTTGATAAATCGTTTCTTTTATAAAATGTACAATCAATTAATTTTGCAGTATATTCTGTGAAGCGCTTTGAGATGTCTCAAAGACGTGATAAGGCGCTATATCAAATGCAAGGATTATGATTATTATTATTATTGACTGTAGATCCAGAACCATGCTGTGGTAAGGCATGGAGAGAACGGAACAGGGTCTTAGCTTTACATATTATAGAAAAGAGTTTTCCTGTGTTATTTCCTGAAGGTGTTGCTTCGGGCTAGATTATGAACACTCCAGTCAGTGACTTGGCCAAGTGGCTATTGTTTGCCTTTGAGACAAGGTCATATCAGTAGTGTGTATAAGCATCGGAGAGGACAGCATAACCAAAACCACATCCTCTTTGCTCCTGACACATATGCAGACTGGCTGGTTTTTCTCTTCCTAACTCTAGTTAGTTGACCATAGCTGGGTCATCACTTAGCCAATTTTCAGGCCCTGAAAATTGGCTAACAACAACAACTTGCATTTATATAGAGCCCCTCATGCAGGATAGCGTCCTAGAGCGCTTGACAGTGGCGTGGCGGAGCACGACTCCAAGCCTGGGGGAGGAGGAGGTGATTGTAGGCACAGTCAAAGAAGAAGATATTCAGGCGTCACTTGAAAAAGGGAAAGAAGGGGCAAGGTTGAGGGATAGAGGAAGACTGATACAGAGTTTTGGGCGCAGTGGCTGAAAGAGCCACTGGAATGGAGGGCACGAGGGACATGCAGAGGCTGGAGCCAGTCAAGCAGAGGCAGCGGGTAGTGGGTGGGGGGGGTAAGCAGGTCAGAGAGGCATGAAGGGATTTGAAAATCAGTGTGAGCATGTTGAAATCGATCTGTTTGGCGACAGAGAGCCAGTGGAGCTTGGCTAGAACTAGTGTGATAAGATAACTCAGCACAGAACTGATTGGGAACGATCCACTAGGTCACCAGAGAAGCCAGTGCAATTAATTTTTCTCCACAAACAAAACATTTTATGCTAGTTTACAGAAATTCACTGTTAACATAGTGTCTCATTAAAGTCAAAACACAAAAGACTGTTCTCATAATTACACTCTGTAATAACAATAGAATGTATTTTGAGATTTATGATGTCCGAAGAATAGGCTTTTAAACACCCATTATTGCCAAGTTTACACATTACGAACTCCCACATCTCCTTGGCACCAGATAAGATTCAGACCCAGGGGAGAGAGATTTATCACCAGTAACATGGATTTATTCAGTGCCACTGACAAAAGATGCATGCCTGTAATCCTGTAATCATTTTCAGTGCAGACGGTTCTTAGTAATGTCTGCTTATGTAGCTGACTCAAAGGTTGCTGTGAAACCTTTAATTCGGGTGGACATCACCATTCCAGTTGGACCCAGAGAGAATAATAATGTGGTCACTTAATCCATGACTGTTTGTGGGACATTGCTGTGCGCAATTGGCTGCTGCATTTCACCCACAAAACTTAAGAGTCAATTCACTTTACAGTATATCCTGTGAAGAGACGCTTTGAGACGTCTAGAAGACGCAATAAGGCACTGTATAAAATGCAAGGATTATTTATTATTACTACTACTCAGTTAGAACAGCGGTTTGGGGGCCTTAAAAATCAGACTATTCATTGTAAATGGAATGTGGCCACATCATATTACATGCAGGAAGCACTGCTGATGTAAATTCTTGCACACTGCGCATGTATGACATGCACAAGAAACATCATTGACATCACTTCCTACACAGTGTACAGGAAACCCACTAGTCAGCATCATAAGCCAGACGTGTACAAAGCTTCTTGTAAATTACTGGGGGAAGGGCAGTCACCCATGGTATAAATGGATTCAATAATGGGTCCACATAACAATGCTGACTCAATGGAAAGCTAAATATGCCAACTAAAATACAGCGAGCATTGGTGAGTCCTCTGCAAACGGATGCACATTTTACATCCATTCACATCACATTGCCAGATAACTTGCAGTGATCTGAGTTCAGAGGAGTCTCATTCACATTACCCTCAGAGTGTGGGGAACCTCACTAGCCTGGAAAGTTTATGATTATGTCACAATTCAATGATATTTTTTATACAACAGAAATATTACCAACATTGCGATTATCAGTGATAAGAGGATACTTGATAACAAGTTGTTCCATATCACCAAAGTATTTATTATAAACTAGCGCCAAACTAAGATATGACAGTTGTGTTTTATTGCTAGTCTGTCTCTATTCCAATGTTCTGTTCAAAGTCAATATCAGGCCTTTAATAATAAATAATTTATTTAAAAAATCCTTGCTTTTGATATAGCCCCTTATCACATCTTTGAGAACTCTCAAAGAGGTTAACACAATATACTGTAAAGTGCAGTGACTGTATATTTTATGGGCGAAATGCAGCAGCCAATTGTCAATTCGTAATATTTAGATTATTTCCAATGATGAATTAGTGATTAACTTCACCAAACACAATATCTTGTGTCCCGATACCTTTTTATTGTTTGAAGGTTTTACACAAGATAGTTGGGGAGGACAGGCTTGCAGGGCTATGGAGAGAGGGGGAGTGGGATTGATTTGGATAGCTCTTTTCAAAGAGTTGACACAGATACGATGGGCCGAATGATCTCCTTCTGCTCTGTATAATTCTATGATTGTTCAACTTCTAATTTAAAAAAATCGTCACACCTTGAAAGCAGTAAGTGAGTATACAGAGGAGTATACAGAGGAATGGTTGTGAGGTTGACTTAGTTAACTTGACTCGATAATATTCCCTTTTCTTCCAAAACCAGCTCACCTGTGCGTTCTGATCACTTTCCAGGACTTCCTCAAACTCCTCATCAGTTTCTGTGCCTGAGAGGCGAGCTGCTCTTGCCATGAAGTATGGAGGTAGTTCTCCTATCGCAGTGCCAGCACCCTATAAGCATTAGAACAGAACAATAATAAGCTGAAGAACCACTTAATTTTTACACCATCATATAATGTTGAAATGTCTCAAAGCTCTTTACAGTAATGAAGTGAATAACCAGTTTATCTGTTGGATTGTTAGCCAGCACATCTGACCAATTTCTTCCTCCCCTCAAAATATCTACTAAACTCCAAAATAATCCCAACTTCTATTAAGATTTGATACAAATCAAAGATGTTGAAATTTTAGACACAACGAACCCAGGTAACATTACTACCGAACTCACAAAATGATCTTATTTAAATATTTTGGCTTGCAAGATGCCTGGAAAATGATTTTAAAATCCGATTTCACTAGAAGTTATTAAAAAAGTTACAAAATAAAATATGAAAGCCTGTTCTTAAATAATTATCAAAGGCACCAAAATTCCACCTAGTCTTAGTTTCCTAGTGCCTTCAGCTCTCCTCTCAACTCTCTAACCCCTCCTCGCTCCCTCCCTTCCCTCCCCTCCCCGACCATTTCCCCCCTGCTCGGGTCCCGACCCAACTGTCCAACGCCTTGGGACGTCCTCCTGACGTGAAAGGCGCTCTATAAATGCAATCTTGTTGCTGTTGTAGTTTGTAAGATTGTTTTTTGGGGAAAATCAGGCAGAATTGTGTAAAACAGTTAAATTCAGGCTTAATTTGGAAGCTGACTTTCTGTAATTCTTAAAAAGAACCAACTTTCATATTAAGATGGCACTGAAGAATTTTCCACAATTCTGCACAATCTGAAATTTGAAGACAAAATGGTCTTAAAGGCCATTTAAGACTAGGTGGAAAAATGAACGTTTAGCCTAATAACCAGCATGATCAGATCATCTTAACATGTAAGAACATACCCACCCACACACGTACCAACCCCCCTCCCGCCCCCACACACACATACACACACACACACATTACATTTGTATAGCGCCTTTCACGTCGGGAGGAGAAAAAAAACGTTGTGGGAAAGTCTTTAATTCAGTCTTATTTCGAAAACCAGAAGTAGGGAATCCAGATTTCAAATTAAGAATTAAAATCTAAGAGATGAAATTTTAGGCAACTGCCAGTTTGGATCGGTTAATGACCCTGACAGTGCATGGGAACACCAACTTAACAGTCAATGCTGGAATCAAGCCACAATGTTATCTCTAGTAATGTTCAATCAGCTTTCTCCAAGGCAGGCAATGGCAACTCCTCAGATTAGCTCATCGGTATTCATGGTTCAAACAAAAAAGGCTGCTAAACAAATAGGATGTAAACCGTAAATCATAAGGTATTTGATTTCCTTCTAAGCCAAGATTATGAAATCGATACTTCCCCGTTTCACTGAAGAGATGGGTAAATTGCTAACAAATGACAAAATACAATCAGAAACAAAATACTGGGAAAAGACACCTAACCATGCAATTTATTCTTGGTTAGAGGCTGTGGGTCAGCACATTGATTGTTCTAGAAATGGTGGGCACATGGGCAAAACCATCACACCTCCACCTACTATGATTTTCTGTTGCATGTTTGTGCATCATACATATCATTTCACAACTAAAAACTTTCACACAGTGAAATCTCAGTGTTTTATAAGGCTGAGTGGAGGGCTGAACAGGAAATCAGGGGCACAAACCTGACTTGTGGGAGGATTTGAGCTGAGGAATTTGGGACAGAATTCCAAATAGGCAAAGTAGCTTAAAGCTTTCTGATGCTGTGTGGCCTTTCTTCATTTGTAAACCTTGACAAAAAGTGTTCGTGGGACTATGCTGGGGATTGCCAGGGGGAGGGAGGGGGGGAAGAGAGAAGGAAACTGAATAATAAGGAACGGGAATCTTGGCCTCGTTTTCAGCTCCTTAACCCAGAATCACCCACTCATCTTGGGCTCTCATCATCTCCTCAAAAATAGAGATTTAGAAGTAGATAAAACCCAAGAGGGTGAGTTCCATGTAACTTGATTCTTAAAAGGTCATTTCTGGTTTCATTGGCATTCCAAAAACTCCTAAACAACAACAAGATAAAGTTGGTTTTGAGAATCAGAATTGCACAACAGTGTAATCTCATATTGGCAACTGACTTAGTCACATTGCAGGAGTCCAAAGGTTAATGCAGGAAGTCAAGCATTGAAAAGCTGTCACACCAACTTTAACCTTGGCGCTATATAGATTTCAAAATTATACATTTGCAGTCACGCAACATTTGCAACAAAACAAAAAGAAACTTCCTCTCTGTGTGGACTGAAATAAAGAAAGCCTTCAAGTAAGGCGAAAGATTGGAGCAGCAGATGGGCGTTAGGTATTATAGTTTATCTTGGTTTCTTTGTCTCGTCTGATCAGCCTCTCTCACACTTTACATATAAAATGGTCATACAGGGCAATACTTCCTTATGAAGCGCTTTATTTGGGCGCAGGTTCCCTTTTAACCCCGAGGCTTCTGAAAGTGCTGTAAACTTCTACCATGAAGCCAAAGGGACTCCAAATCTGGCCTAATGCTAACAATGCCTTAATCGTCACATTGGCGTGGGGGAGGGGAGCGGGAGGAAGGAAAGCATGGGAGTTGCGTCATGACATTATGACATTCCACTAGTGCCATGTCACGGGCTCCCTCTTGCTCCTTGGGGAGAGTTGGGTTGGGGAGCTTTTGGGATCTGAAGTAAAAGGCCGAGCAACTCGGGTCATCTTCATAACAGCTCCTGATGAATGCGTTCTTGGTCAGGGAGGAGGGGAGAGGAAGGAGAAAAAGATGTCTATGACGTGCTGTGAAATCACAGTCCAAGGTTAAATTGCAGAGAAGAAAGTAGGAAAATGGACGAGAAATTACACAAAAACAGGATACATTAAGCAGATTTATTCTGATCTGGTAGAGGAAGTTCCACACCACAGCATGAATTTGCTCTGAATTTTCACAAGACAAGCTCTGAGGCACTCCTTATTGCAACACCAATGAAAAATACATAACCAGAGGATTATTTTGAAACAATTAGCCTTGTCAGTGCAGATTTCTACCAAATGCACTTCCTTGAAGCCCACTTCCTTGAAGGCACCACTGTGTTCCCTCAGATGTCATTTGCATGTGAATCGTTGAAAGACGAGATTATTCCCAACCAACTTGCCAAGAACATTGTTCTTATCAATGCACAGTACAATTTAGAGAAATAACAAGGGTGCGGCTGATAAAAAAAATTAACACTACACTTAGCTGCAGTCGTACAATCTCATTCATAGTCCAGGCTTGCATGAATAGCCTGTTCTACTATTTTATGACTTAATACTTAAAATTGAAACCCTCATACATGCTTTCATTACATCGAGGCTCGACTATGCAAACTCATTGCTTGTCGGCCTCCCCAACTCCTCCCCCCACAGGCTGCAGATTATCCAGAACTCCGCAGCCCGTGTCCTCTCCCGCACTAGGCTCCGTGATCCTATCACCCCCATCCTCGCCCAACTCGACTGGCTTCCCATCACACAGAGGATACAGTTCAGATCCTGGTCTTCACCTTAAAAGCCCTCCATGGGTTAGGACCCCCAGCTCTGGACCCCAGCACTGATTGTCCAATGCCTTGGGACGTCCTACTGACATGAAAGGCGCCGTACAAATGAAATTTGGTTGTTGTTGCATTGGAGTGCGGTAATTGCGATAAATATTCCCCCATTCAAGAAAAATTGCAACAAGCTACACACCGTTGCCAAGAATAAAAAAAACATAGGTTGAAGTGCCATTAAAGAGAACAACACATATTTACATTGATACAGCGCCTTTCACATCGGGAGGACATCTCAAAACACTTTACACTGCTGGTGGGCACCCAAGTTGGGGGTGGGAGCCAGGCTCCACAGATCTTGTGTGGGTTAGTTGCCTAATCAACAGATTGATCAGAATATATTCAAGCAACGATTGCATTGGGTGGATTGTAAATTGGTTATGGGTAGGTGACGATACCATTTTTAAAAAAACGCACTTCTGCTATTATTTCACGAAAGTGAATTGTAGTCAAACAAAGATTAAAATGATTTCTATGAATGAATTTATTTTAAGTACAGATGGGAATCTCATCATTAGAAGTCCAGTTTAAATTTAAAAAAAGGATTCAATTGCTAAAACAACAACAACAAAATTCTATTTATAGAGCGCCTTTCACGTCGGGAGGACATCCCAAAGCGCTGAACAGTCAGGTGTAGGGGCCTGAGCCTGGGGGAGGGGTGGTGTAGAGGTGAGGGAAGGCAGAGAGGTGGGAGGGAGACCAAAGGCACGGTCGAAGAGAAGGGTCTTGAGACCGGCCTTGAAGGAGGCAAGGGAGGAAGCGAGGCGAGGGGACCGTGGGATGGAGTTCCAGAGTGTGGGGGCAGAGAGGCTGAAAATCCGGCCATCGATGGTAGACCGGGTCGGACGGGAAACATGGAGCAGCCGGAGCCGGCTGAACGGAGGGAGCGGGCAGGTTGGTGGGGAGTCAGTAGGACAGAGAGGTAGGAGGGGGCAAGGACATGGATGGCCTTAAAGGTGAGGATGAGGATCTTGAACTCGATCCTCTGGGGGATGGGGAGCCAGTGGAGTCGGGTGAGGGTGGGAGTGATGGGGTCACGGAGCCTGGTGCGCGAGAGTTCACAAGCTGCAGTTTGGGATGATCTGCAGTTTGTGAAGGGAAGATTTGGGAAGACCAATGAGGAGGGCGTTCCCGTAATCAAGCCTTGAGGTGACGAATGCGTGGGTGAGGGTTTGGGGGCCTGAGGGGTGAGGCAGTGGCAGAGTCTGGCAATGTTGCGGAGGTGGTGGTGGACAGTGCCGGTCATGGTGTGGATATGGGGGAGAAAGGACAGTTCAGAGTCAAACAAGACACCCAGGTTCCTGACTGGCTTAGTGAGGTTGAGTGTGCAGCCATGGAGGCTGATGCAGCCAGCGCCTGAGGTGCGGAGGCACTGGTACGAACCAATCGGGAGGGCCTCGGTCTTGCTGACGTTGAGTTGGAGAAAGTTGGACCTCGTCCAGGACTTGATGTCAGACAGGCAGTCAGTCAGGACGCCAGTAGTCCTGGAGTTCAGGGTGGAGGTAGAGAGGTAGAGTTGGGTGTCATCCGCATACATGTGGAAATTTACCACATGTCTGCGAATGACGTCACCAAGGGAGAGCATGTAAAGAAAAGATTAGGGGGTGTGGGTTTGCGAGGAAAGGTGGAACCTAGTTATAAAAGATGCCACCTGGAATTCAGCTATATTTTTTGCCTTAACCTCTTAATCTCAGATTGGTTTTACAGAAATTCTATCATTTAATCACTTTGATACAGTGAATTATTTACAGTGTGAATTTAAGTGGAATCTTGTGACTCAAAGCCTTACATTCTGGACCCTTCCCATGGTAGAGGCAAATTGCCTAAACTCACTTTGAACAAGGATCAGCATAACAATCAAGCAGCCTTAATGCCACTTTCTGAGAAACTCTGTTGCTTTAATAAATCCAACAGATGAAGAAAAACAGTCACACAGCACATAAAAGACTAGCCAAGCTACTAAGGAGTCCTGTAGCTCAGTGATTAATGCACTCGCCTCGCAAGCGAGAGACCTGGGTTCGATTCCCAGAAGGGCGAAACCTTGGGCAAGTTTCCTTACTCAACACGCCTGATAATAATCCCTCAAGGAAAATAATAATAATCTGGTCACTCAATCCACGACTGTTTGTGGGACATTGCTGTGTGCAATTGGCTGCTGCGTTTCACCCACAAAATATATACAGTCAATTTACTTTACAGTATATTCTGTGAAGCGCTTTGAAACGTCTCGAAGACGTGAAAAGCGGTGTATCAAATGCAAGGATTATGTTTTTTTTACTAAGGTGACTAATACATTCCCACTTGATTTTCTCCCCTTTCAAGACCTTAGAGAGATTACCTCGTGTGAAGGGCGCTATATAAATGCAAGTGGTTATTGTTCACTGCACATCTCTTCTAGCTGTCTGGAACATAGCCTTAATGCATCCTTCCATTTGATATAGTGCCTTATCACGTCTTCGAGACATCTCAAAGCGCTTTACAGAGTATAATAATAATAATCCTAGCATTTGATATAGCGCTTTTCACGTCTTCTCGACATCTCAAAACGCTTCACAGTATATACCGTATAGTGAAGTGACTGTGTGATTTGTTGGTGAAATGCATCCTCAGGAGCCTGCTGAGAGGCCACTTCAAATATAATGGGAAGCGTTTGAGAATTTTGAGTGGTTGCCACCAGGGTGGCAGGTTCAAATGCTCAAAGCCACTTAAAGTGAATCAGAACAATTCGGAAGCCTTTTCAACCCAAATCATGCACAATCCCCATGAGGCGAAACCCTAATGAATTACTGTCTTCAGAACAGGAGAAAACTATCTTTCCTTTTTTTTTAAAGTCCAAGTTCAAAATCTCTTGGACGACTTTGAACCCCTCAATTTAGAGGCAACACAAATCCCAAACTGTTGAAGCCAATTGAATTATTTCTGAATTACAGCCCTCAAATTTTCAAATCTGATGCCAAATGCATTGGCTTGCTGAGAAACAGTTCAGGTGATGAAATGATTCTTACCCACATACAGGCCTCCAGCCTGACTTTGGAGATGATGGCCCACAGAGAGATAGTCCCTTGGACCTCCTCGTCGGGACAGATGATCTTATCTGGGTACGGAGGTTCCGGGAAATTCACAGAGTTGCATTCGTACGCAGCCAATGTCACTGAAGCTATGTGTGGACCCTGCAAGTAAAGCACAAAAAGGTATTAATGTCCTTTTAATTAGGCTGCTACCTGAAGATCCGTTTCGCAGACTGTTGCTCTTCCACAATTTTGTCTGAGTCCATGAGCAGTGGTCTGAGAATAAGAAAGTCATCCTATTAGTATTATCCAAGAATACCTAACCCCAGGCTGATCTGCAGAGCTATGTCTGCCACGACCACAGCACCAATGCAGATCAGGACCTGAACAGTCTCTAGTCTGAGCCAGATAATCAGTACGATGAAAGCGATTTACAAGAGCGCAGAGACCGTGATCATAGTCAGAACAGCATCCTGAACACACGACGACTGCCTGCTCTTCTCTTCCCTCAGAAAACGATTCAGATCCAATTTTTATTGAAATCCCTTGCGTCACCCTTGGGATTCACTTTGATGGTTAGCGAGCTCGTGGTTGAAAAACAACTTTGCAAGTCCTTTGTTTCTTCTGCTTTGGTTTGGCCATGTGTGCTAAAACCGATCTGGGTTTTAAACCATGGAACTACTCAGAAGAGAGTGAAGGGATGGGTTTTAGCACACATGAAACTGATAGTTTAAATAAACTTTTAAGCGTAATTTTTTCTTTAATTGTTCGCTCCTCCTCTCTCCCTGGAAGCTCGCGACCTGCTTACCCAATTCAAGATAGTATTAGGTACACCCTGGCCAGAGTCAAGGCTTGGGGACCACAGAGTGTGCTGTGAGTTGGGGTACTGAGGGAGTTTAACAAGCTAAAATCTGCATTGCTTGCCATTCTGGCAAAGTTGCATCATTGCATGGTTTCAGAACGTGATCAAGACACCAACCCATACGGCTTCAATGAGTTTCTGATCACAAACATACCAATGTGGGAGAGTTGGCAAATAGAATGGCAAAAAAGGGAGCAGTGTTTTTATACCCCTCTTACTTGAAGCCAGCTCAAGAGTGGTTCTGGTTGAGGTGTGAAGCAAGTCACTTGCATTTATATAGCATGAAGGGCACGATGTAAATGCAAGTTGTTGTTGTTGCCAAACTTGCTCCAGTTGAGGTAGGATGTACAATCAAAGACCAATTAGAACATTAGAATATTTTCTTCCACCACCCCACCACCCATTCAATTCTTGTATCAAGGGCTCGGAATGAACCAGTTTTCACGCAATATAATTATTGGAGTTTTTCCTTCATTCCTATTAGACAACCATCCAAATAGTCTATCAGGGATTGCAAACATTCACGTTTCGATTCTGTGCCAGAACATTGGTTACCCACATTATCATATAGCATAGAAATTTCCTCTGGATTATAACTTTGGTCTCGATGAAAGCCAGCAACCCTACGATTTCTCTCTCTGGAAATAAAAATTTATCTTATTTACATTTTGCATTTGTTAGACCACATATTGGCAGCTTGAGAAAGGAAAACATTCTCCCTAAGCCGTCCTTCAAAGCCACAGGCACTCAAGATCATTACATTTTTGTCTGGAACAATTACAAAGACGAATTACCGAAGCACAATTTTGTTGGTTAAACTCGAGTTCAAAAAAATTTCCGAATAGTAGCAGATGTGATATATATAGGAGTGAACGTGAAGTGTTCCAATTGCTGCATGTTTCTCCTAATTCTCTAAGCTTTTGAAGCCCGTGTCAGACACACCTTTCTCCCTCTTCAGTTTCCCTCCACCCCAAAACCTCCAACATTTCCACTTAAAAATAACCTCCAAGTCACATTATTGAATCCATTCAATGTAGTAGTTTCAGGGTAAATCTTTGAATGATTGGAAGCCTTCCATATTTTTCATTGAAAAAAAAGTTTGAAACTTTGGACCCAAATTGAGTTCCAGCTGAGCTTCCAAGAAAACTCACTGCTGACAAACTTGTCTTGTTTGTCTCTTCCATACCTTCCTCTCACACCTGTTTGAGCTCAAAAGCCCAAGAATCCCAGACTCTACGATTAAGAATAGCTCCAATCTGTTAATCACAGATCTTTGGAACATACCACAAACAATAGCTAGATGATGGCCAACAACCCTGTATAATGGAATACCCACCAGGGGCTACTAATGCTAATTAACAACAGATGGATAACCATATTCTTCACATTTTTTGACTGTAAAAACTGCTAAAGTAGACATTAAAACAAAGCGGACCACATGTTTGTGGTTTACCATGAAGTCATTGGTGGAAGCTCAAACCTCATTACAACAGTGTTCAGCGTCTTACGAATTCTTAGCCATTCTGTATTTTGACAGAAATTATATCACACTGTATATAGTGTTCCGTTGAAAAATTCTTAACGTCTGGATTTCTTTTTTATGAGTGGCATGGCAGAAATAAGAGACAAAATGTATTCTCATAAGGATCTGATTTCTAACCAAAACATTAGCTTCTTTGAAAGATGATATGCATAGACTCGGAATGAAACAGCAGAGACAAGCCATTTGGCCCATGAAGTGTGTGTTGGGTGTTTCTTCACAAAACTCCCAATTTTATCTAAAACTAAAACAGAAGTCACTTGGAACACTTAACAGGTCAGGCAGCGTCTATGGAGCAATGAAAGTGAGTCAACGTTTCAGGTCCACAACCCTTTGTCAGAACAGTCAAGGCTTTGAAGGATCTTGAACTGTATCCTCTGTGTGATTGGAAGTCAGTGGAGTTGGGCAAGGATGGGGATGATAGGGTCGTGGAGCCGAGTGCGGGAGAGGACACGGGCTGCAGAGTTCTGGATGATCTGCAGCCTGTGGGGAGAGGAGTTGGGGAGGCCGACAAGCAGGGAGTTTGCATAGTCGAGCCTCGATGTAATGAAGGCGTGTACAAAGGTTTCGGTGGTCTGTGATGTGAGAAAGTGGTGGAGACGGGCGACGTCGCTGAGGTGGGGGAAGGTAGAGCGGGTCATGGCGCAGATGTGGTGTAGAAAGGATAGTCAAACAACACCCCGAGGTTCTGGACTGGCTTAGCAAGGTGGAGTGTGCAACCATGGATGGTGATGCTGTCAGTGCCTAAGCTGAAGAGGCGCTGACGGGAGCCAATCAGGAGAGCCCCAGTCTTGTTGACGTTCAACTGAAGAAAGTTCGCTCTCATCCAGGACTTGATGTCTGACGGACATTCTGTCAGGACAGCTGTGGTCCTGGAGTTGAAGGTGGAGGCAGAGAGGTAGAGTTGGGTGTCATCCGCATACATGTAGAAGTTGACCCCATTTCTACCGGATGATGTCACCAAGAGGGAGTATATAGATATTGAAGAGGAGCGACCAAGGATAGCGCCCTGAGGAACACCATACAAGATGGTCCGGGGGATAGAGAAGCCATTTGTGGAGATGAAGTGCAGGCGATGTGAAAGGTACGATCTGAACCAGTCAAGGACAGCGCCGTGGAGATCGAGGTGAGAGGAGAGGTGGTGCATGAGGATAGAGTGGTCGACGATGTTGAAAGCAGCAAAGAAGTCAAAGAGGACGAGGAGGCAGAGAGAGCCCTGGTCACAGATGGACAGAATGTCATTTGTCACTTTAACCAGGGCTATTTCTGTGCTGTGGGCGGCACGAAAACCCAATTGAAGGGGTTCAAGAAGGGAGTGGCGGGAGAGGAAGGAGCAAAGCTGGGTAGCAACAACTTGTTCCAGGACCTTGGAGAGGAAAGGGAGGTTGGAGATGGGGCAGTAGTTAGGGATTAGAGAAGGGTCCAGGGAGCGTTTTTNAATGATAGGAGTGATGACAGCATTTTTTTAATGGGGTGGGAACAGCACCAGAGGACAGGGAGAGGTTTATGATGTCATTGAGTAGAGGAGCAAGGAGGTGGAGCTGTGAGGTAAGGAGGGGGGTAAGGATGGGGTCGAGGGAGCAGGTGGTTGGTTTCATATGGGTTATGATGGTGATCAGAGAGGAGGGGGAGACAGGTTCAAAGGTGTGGAGGGAGGGATGGGTAGGAGCCGGGGTGGGAGGAGGAGATGGGGAGAGGACTTCCGATTACAACTTCTTACGAATTCAGTCCTGTGTACTGGCCGGGACTTCTCCACCTGGTAACCGCTTTCAATCAATAATTTTCCTCTATGAAAATAAAGACTTCCCTGTGACAGTTCTAATATTGTCCTTCGCAACCCTGAAGCTGTGGCCTCTTGTTGTGCTCCACGGGCAGAGCAGAAGGCCATTGTGCCTGCAGCAAGCACGCTCATGCGAAATGTAAGCTTCTTTACACCAAAGAAGAAAAAAATGTAGTCACTCAACCCACGACTGTTTGTGGGACACTGCTGGGCGCAATTGACTGCTGTGTTTGCCTACAGGTACACAGTTGCTCCATTTCACAGCAATTCCTGTAAAGCGCTGTGAGGTTTCCTTCCGATGTGATAATGCAAGAATTTTTATTATTATCCCCCTCATGTGAAAGACGCTGTTTCAAATTCAAGAACTATTATAAAATCAATATAAAACGAAATGGGGGAAAGAAAAAATATCAAAGAAAACCGGTATTGAAGTAAAGAGTAGATAGTGGAGTAGGCTTTACAGACCAAATAACCTCTTTCGGCGATCAAACTGCAATCATGATTTGCAAAATTGCTCCTGGTCTGAGCATTTCCTCTGCGTTTCACAATCTTAACCCCAAAAAAGGTCAATTAAATCATTTTACAAGGTGCCAGGATGTCTTTGAAATGCACTACAGTAATGCAGATAACAAAACACTCATTGTTCAAGACAGGAGTAAAACATTTCTGTCAACAGCTATTTCAAATCCCCCACTACTAGCACCCAGCTCTCTCCCCACAGGCACTGACTGACTCATTCTGCATCGATTCCTGTGGTCAACAGAACTGCACAGCTGCAAAAACCAACAACCAACCCAGCTTCAAGTGAGAAGAGAAAGATAAAGGCAAAGGTAAAATATGGACACATTAGAGTTGAGCCTTTCAAAAGCATTCACGTGCTAGTCAGGAACATAAACTGAAGTGATTGTAATGATGAATTAAAAAAAAACTTTGATAAAAAAATTGCTTTGAAGGGTTTCTATGCAAAACGTCTGCCTTCC